AGGGTGCCCTCTCTCGATTCCATCAACGTCCCTCCGATCGCAACATCGGACGCATCTGTGGACACATAGAACGGCAGAGACTAATCTGGCAAACACAAGAACGGATTACTATTCAATGCCTTTTGTAATCTCTGGAGCACGTCCTCGCACTCTCTCCTCCAGATCACCCTCGCTGGCATTCCTTTCATCGTCAATGAGGACAACACGGCTGTAATGGTTGAATAGTTAGGAATGAATTTGGCATAAAAGTTACACAAACCCAATAACGCACGCACTTGTTTCTTCGTTTTTGGTATAGGGATGTTAAGAATCTTACCCACCTTGGTGGCTTTGGGTTTACGGACCCCGTGTCCTACAACGTGACCTCCTCGAAAGCGACCTTCACTTTAGTTGGTCTAACCGTCAGATTAAACGACCTTATGCGTTCCAGTAATGTCTTTAGACCTCGAATATGTTCGTCTAAATCATCATGGAAAAGCAGAATGTCGTCCAGAAAATGAATAACATCATTACGACCCTGTAACAACTTGCGTACTAGGGGGGTGAACGTAGCAGGCGCTCCCGTAAGCCCAAAATCCAGATAGTTGAAGTGAAAAAGACCTTTGTTCGTCTGAAACGAGGTGTATTTCTTGGAATCCTCGGCTAAGGGAATCTGCCAATAACCCTTGGTAAGATCTAACTTAGTAAAATACTTAGCCTTCGACAATGCAACAAAAAAATCTTCCATATTTGGGATATTTTCAGCATCTACAACCTTGATTCGATTCAATTTTCGGAAATCTATGCAGATCCGAAGGCTTCCATCTTTCTTTCGGACAAAAACTATAGGAAAAGCATAGGGTAATGTCGACGGTTCTATTATACCCCATTTAATCATGTTATAGATTTCCTTATCCACGGCATAATGAAAAGGTATTACATATGGTTTCATTTTGATGGGCCTATGATCCATTAATTCAATGTAATGCACTGCTTCTGTCGTTCTACCCGGCATGTCCGATAATGTTTTGTCGAATTTAGCCAAAATACGCTTTATACGACGAACCATATCTGGTGGAACCGAGGGCGCGACTTCCATGTCTCTCCATGTTTCTCTGGGTACCAGTTCGAGTAGAGACAATTGATGAGCAGTGTCCACCTCGACATCATTGCTCTCTTCGTCAATGGCGTGGCAGAATCCTGCCTCCATTTCATCTTCTTGTAAATTATTGTCGGGTGCCTCGTCTGCTTCTAACACTTCAGACAAACCACTAGGGCGAGACTTAAACTCTTTAAGCATGTTTAGATTATATACTTTAGGATGTCCTCTGACATCAATAAGATAGTCCACATCTGAAATTTTCTTAATAACTTTAAAAGGACCCTGCCACTTGGCTAATAAACAATTATTGTTATCCTGCAGAAATATCAATACATCGTCATTAGGTTGGAGAGTGATCAGTCTCCTATTACGGTTAACGTAATCTCATTGATGAGTGCCAGCATTTTCCAAGTTGTCCCGTGCAAATTGACAGCCTGTCATTATCTTGTGACGTAACTCCGTCACGAATTTAATATATGTTTGAGGCGCTTCCTGATCGCCTTTACCGATCCACGTGTCCTTTAACAGCGACAGTGGACCTCTGGGGTTAGCACCATATATAAGTTCGAAAGGTGAGGAACCTGTACTGCTCTGGGGCACCTCACGATACGCGAACAATACCGCAGGAAGGTATTTGTCCCAGTCTGCTGGAAATTGAATAGTAACTTTTGCTAGCATAGCTTTTATTCTAGCATTTTAATTTTCTACTAGCCCATTTGATTGTGGGTGATATCTTGCAGAAAAAACGTGAGAGATGGCAAGCAATTTGTCGAAAGAGCGCATTGCTTCTGAAATAAATTGTGATCCGTGATCTGATAAGATTGTTTCAGGAAAGTCTACTCGAGAGAATATAAGCATCAATGCTTCTGCTACTGACTCAGTAGTGATATGACGTAACGGTACTGCTTCAACCCCACGCGATGCCATGTCTACAAATGTTAAAATGTATCTAAATCCTCTTTGTGAAACAACCGGTTGCGGACCCACAAGATCGACAGCAACTTTTTCGAAAGAGCGACATGGAAGATAGACCCTTTGAATAAGAGGTTTCTGAGATGCATCCTTTCTCGCCATCATTTGACAGTCTTTACATAACCTACCGTATTTCCTAATATTTGTGGAACACCCAGGCCAATAGAATTGTGCAAGAACTCTTTTCTGTGATTTGCCTACACCTAAATGTGCAGCAAAAGGTGTGTCATGTGCAACTCTCAGAACATCGGTTCTATAACATACAGGAACGACTAATTGTTTACACTGTATAACAGGTGATTGAAAATTCCTCATTAAAATTCCATTCTTCACATAAAAATGCCATATACCTTGCTTACATGTTCTAACACCGGTAATTTCTGCAAGTATTCGACCGAATACCGAATAGTTATTAGGTCCACTATTCGGTCCTGAAGCGAATACAAAGCGAATATTCCGTACAACCCTAGTTTCAAGCGATAGGAATCAATTGGTTTGAAAAGCCTCAGTAGTGGTCTCTCAGAAGGGACGACGGGGAAGACTAAAACAACTGGTATGTGAAGACCAAATACAGTACTTATCGCGGAATTGCCCTATCTCGCGTTCCTGAGTGATTTGCTGCAGTTCCCACGGGCAAACCTATGTTCTGGGGGTGTTATAAGATGGCTCTTTTCTTGTCTATACTTAGCTCACCGAAACGTTTCTGGCGTTCGTTCGACAAGGTCGACACACCAGACACAACTGCACAACTTTCTTTTCGCTACTGTCGCCTGTGTGAACGAGTATTATTTCTGAAATGAATTGTTGTTGAGGTCGGCTCTGTGGCTAAGTCGATGCGAACGCTTCGTAATGCCTGGATGCCGGGTTCGATCCCAGCTGTGGGCCATGCGCCTTGTGTTCGTTTCGACAGTGGTATCAAGAAAGCCGACCTCTAGAAAGGAATGGCAAACTACTGGACGTTAATTTGCCTATAAAAACCACACAACAGCCAGTGGCTGCTGGGGTTGGTTCTGCAACGTCCTGTAAAGGATATGCAACTAACATATTATTGTTGTGAGTAGGTCAGGCGCCTGTGTACAAGGAAGACGTACTGCAAAGGAAGCGTCGACGGCGCGACGGTTGGTGAGTACCGAATCATTTATGTTTTTGTATTTTCACACTCGTTAGCAGTGGCTGTCGGCTATGGTGGATTTGCTTAAAACCAGACACCCCTAGAACACAGACAGCCCGTGGGAACGGCCATGAAATAACAGACAAACTATATGGGGTGACTTCCGTGACTTGTACCCACAATAACACATGTTATAAGATATTTGAGGTTATATGGTACGATAAATGGTTTGAAATGAATTATTTCCACATTCCATAGCTGTGAATTTCAAGTATTCGATAGACATGAACCATAAGACACATTCTTTTGGGGGTGCCTAGTTGACAATGTTTTTAGTGCACTTGTTTCCATAGCGAGACGCACACGCCGTCTGGAGGCGACAGGTTCGATTTCCGGCACGGTAACTATAGCTTTCGATTTTTATGCTGTCTAATGTGTTCTTCCATCTTTCTACTTCTTTCTATGAATGCCGATCAATACATTTTCTTAAAAATGTTAGCCAAGCATTTTGAAAATGACCCCCCCCCCCCCCCCCCCTTTCTTTTCCCACACAGGAGATTTTTCGCCCGTGTGTTCTGTGGATACAATAGCCACACACACAAAATTGAACCATGGTTAGTTAGTTAGTTAGTTAGTTAGTTAGTTAGTTAGTTAGTTAGTTAGTTAGTTAGTTAGTTAGTTAGTTAGTTGAGTTATCCTCATTGCACTCCGGACATGTCCATAGGTGCTCAGATCCTCCCCTCAGTATGAACCCCAACGTCCGATGGCTAATAGTACCAGTTCTATGTTGATTAACAAGTCTTCTGGCGTAGCTGGTGTGCGTCTCGTTTTTTGCTGTGCCGATCTTAATTCCCAAGTCTGCCATTCTGGCGAGTGATGTGGATTCACTGCCACCAAAGTCCTCTATCCTTCCCATTTCTCTGAGGGCATTGATAATATCAGCATGATCCATAGGCTGACCGTCGGTAGTGATAGCGGATCCAGCCAACCTGTCAGCTCTTTCATTTCCATCGACGCCTGCGTGTCCCGGAACAAAAATAAAGGTGACTCCATGGATAAATCAAAAAGAGAAACAAGAAAAACCCAGCCAATAAGTTGAGGGAAGGCTCTTCTAGTAGACAAGTATGACACGGTGTGGAGAAAGCCGAAAGGAGTCCAGATCGTCGACTTACCTCCTCTCACCTAGGAAAACCTCCAGAACTGACACTAAAATTAAAAAAAAAAAAAAGGGGGGGGGGGGAGACCACGGTGATAGCTGTATGCGATAGTAAAGGTTAGAACGATCTAGCGTGGACTGGTTGAGGTCCTATGCTCTACTGGGGGCTAGAAAGGCAAAAGAAAAACAAGAAAGAAGAGGAAGAAGGAAGAAGAGATTCTCAGTATTCAGCGATAACCCCCTCACTGATCAGCACACGATAGGGTGCCGTAACGGCAAATTTTGCCAGCCAAGACGAGATTCTTGTAATCTCGGGGTTGGCCACACTTTTAGGTATCAGCAAGACAACAAAAGAAAACAAACCTGTCAGAAAGACATCCCAGTGGTACTGGAAAAAGTGCTCTAACAAATTTTAAAAATAACGAATATGCTATAATTGGAAAACTCGATAAAACTATAGACACACAGAAATTAGCATTTCTCTCTTGTCGCCTTTGCCAACTTTTGTATGCCAAATCGACGCCTTCGAAAATTACTAAAGTTTGGCCATGGCCAAATCCTTGTCATTGTTAACACAACAGTCACCACTTGTTGGGATTGAGGCAAATTATAATTAGGCACATACATGTATAAAAGCCTGGCCTTAAACCGGAAATAGTTTATGTAAACATAGCAGCAAGATGGCGTCTAAGGTAGGTTTGTGTATGTTGCTTTAAGATATTTGTGCACGGTTTCTCTACCGTTGTTTATGTCTTTTATCTGTCGCTTAATGTATAGAAATTGTATTTTTAACTCGCTGTATTAGTTGTACCGGTGGGACTTACATTTCTTTGTAAATCTCAAATTGTTGGGGGGGGGGGAGGCTGGGTGTTGTGTTTAAAATTGAATTAAATTTAAAACTAATAAAACACTATAGCTATTGGAGGGGGGGGGGGGGGAGAGGGGGTTGCTAGTTTGACTTACACTGGTAATTGCTGTGTAAACTGTTTGAAATTAAATTTAAAAAAATTACGTAAACTAGAGCTATGGGGAAAAAGGGGGGGGGGGGGGGTGTACTAGTTTGAGTTACACTGGTAGTTGCTGTGTTTAAAATTTAGCTACTTCAGTGAAATTTTTAAAATGCCCTCTACACCAATAAAACCAGCACAGTTAGATAGCTGTAAACAATTTCTTTCCAATAGTACCTCATTTAGGCTTGTATGTCATTTCTGAGCTGAGATATGTAGGTTTTGTGGAGATGAGATGTAAGAAACAGCCGCTAAAACTTGTGACCCAGAAACAAGAAGTTTTTTACTGCGCAACCAACTGCGCAGTTCTGTTTCGGCTTTGTTTACATTGGACTGTCATTGGACAAGATGGCAGGCAATGAGACACAGCCACTGGCTATGCCAACGATTGCCTGAAAAATGTCACTGTACATCTACCTAGCCACCGTCCAGAAAGAAATTTTATACACAAATGTGAAATTGGACGGAGAATTCAAATATACCTAGCAATACCAGGACGAGTAACAGTTAAAGCCTAAAGCCAACCTCGAATTTACCGCTATTTTCAATCAAACTGATGACTAACAGAAAAACAGAGGACGTCCGGCTGTCGTAGACATGCGCTGTTAATCGGGTTCCCCCACGCTGTTTTCAGCTATTTATAGCTGGTCCAAATTCCCACCAATGGCAAAATTTCATGAGAGATTTGGACCCATACGGAAACCAGCCAAGATTTCCCGAACAAGTTCTGAACGGTTTCCGGGTAACGGAAATTGCCGAAAAGACCGCAAATTGTCGAAGCTGTAGTCCCTATAAAATTGAATTACATTTAAAAACTTGGTGACAAAAAATACATGCAGATAATTACAGTGCTGACAGTTTCCCCTTTTTTCAGGCAGCTTACTTTATCATCACTTTATGATTGAATTAATCATTGTTGATTATTTTATCATCGAAAAAAAACAACATTAAGTCAGTAACTAACAAGAAAATATAACAACATTTATTGCTTTTAACAACTACAGAAGAAAAAGTAATTAAAAAAAAAAATTCTGGAAAATAAACAGAAAACAAATACTTGGCTACAACCTGGTGTCAATAATAAAATATTGCAAAAGACGAATAAAGAATATGGCTCTCCCCCGAACTTCTACCCCCGCAGTATTGCGGCCTAAAATATCCGTTCCGGGCGCAATCCAATTAAAAATACGGACTTGTCGGAGTTTCCGACGAGGAACACATTGCGGCAAAACTAGGAGTACCTGACAATGTCGAGCGTTTTCTGCAGACGATAAAAGCGACCGCTGACAATTTCCAGACATTACAGTACATGAAAGCGATATGGCGGGTAGACCACGCGCTCTGAGGCAGATTAGCAATACTGTTCTTCTGATTGAAGATTTAGCAGCGGTAGTTGTCGGACTTGTCGGTATGCGCAATTCACGTTTAAACTCACCGCCAAGCGTATCCCCCGCGCTGCTACGCGCGGCGCGGATGTAGGACTAAACTAGGTGCCTGGGACTCACGATCAAAGTGATTGGAGGAAGTTGCAGGAGATGCGGTAGCTGCTGCTCGTGAGTCTCAGCCATCTAGTTTCACCCCTATCAGCGCCGCGGGTAGCTGCGCGGGGGATACAGTCGGCGGTGAGGCATAGTCACAGAAACAGGTCCGCAAGTAACATATCGCTGAGAGACTGTTAGAGCATTTGTTTTGTTTTTCCGAGGCGATCCTAGATTTGCCGCGATTTGTTTGTCGGCAGGAAGTTTGACAATGGAGAGTGTCAATGGTCGCTATTATCTTTATCTGCTACTATCGTCTGCAGTGTTGCATGCGTCTCTTAGAATTGTCAGGTAATCAGAAATAACAAGAAACAGGTCCGCAAGTAATATATCGCTGAGAGACTGTTATAGCATTTGTTTCGTTATACGGAGCCGGCATATTTTTAATTGGACTGCGCCCAAAACAGATATTTCAGGCCGCAATACTGCGGGGGTAGAAGTTCGAAACAGAGCCAAGAATACTTATTGTGTGTTACATGTTATCATTATCACTCAGTAACTTCATTTACTGTGGAAAAACGTGCTGGCTGTGACCAAACCAGTTTGTAGATATTTGTAGGTGTACTCACAAAGTATTTGTGTCGATTTATTCTTCAGAGATATTTATTCAGGTAATATGCAGATGTTCCCATGCTGGGAGTGTGAGACAGTGTAGCAGGAAATTGTTAAAATGTTTGGGTTACTATAGGCACTATTGCTCTAGTGTTCTGTGTTGTGCTTGAGAGCGACAAGAGACTGTTGGCATATCCTTCATCCTCATATTGTTGTTTGGCGTGTAGAATAAAGTACATTACTAATGTTTCCATGGTCTTACTAGTATTTGAATCAAGTGGGTCTCAAGAAATCATGAATCCCTAGACGCCTGTTAGTGGAACCATCACCTATTTCACAACAGTTACATGTACTACCACAACCACTAACACACACTGTGATACAACACACCAAGTATGATAGTGCAATCAGTCATTATTATTGACGGACACATTGCAGCGATGATGGATTGGGAATCAGTAAATCACTCTCAGTCCCCTACTTCCTGCCAAATACACTGACATCCGCAGTCTCCAGGACATGGATGAAAACACCCTGGTGAACTGTGTACAGGTGGCTGCTTTTGGCGGCTCACTCCTGATAGTGCAGATACACCTGCATGATGTGCAGTGACAGTCCGCTCACTGCTCTCTAACAAAGAGACCCCGCTACCTGAGGGCCAAAGAAAGATGCATCACTTGGTAAAAAAAACCAGACCTCCGTCTGCTACTCAGTTACTCATTGAAATGTCATTAGCCAGTTAACCACAGAAGTCCGTATTATTATGGACACATTCTTCCGCCAGCCAGTATTCCTGATACCTCCCCATCACAACTTGACATTGGTCAACATGTACAAAGTTTCCTCATCACCTGCTATAGCACTTAAAGACACCACATCAACCATTGTACCACATAGCCGCAACTTTGCCGACACAACTGCCCATTCTAGAAAATCCCAATGCTAGTTTCCAGAGTCAAACCCATGATGCATAATATTGTTGCACAAACATGACCATTCTGTTTCACAGACTGAAAGCTACTGACTCAAACATGCCATGAAATCCTGGCAAAAGCAGTCTGTTCAACATCGGGTTGATTGCAATCACCCATGATTATCAAGCAAACTGTTTTAAAACTTTAAGTGGCTCAAATGTTTGCATTCACAACCAGTAAACACAACACAAATGCCAGTGTTTGCCCCCTGGCTTCATTTAATTCTTACATCACAACATGACTTTAACCGAGAATGAGCTTGTGCGTAACATTATCTCTGGCACATAGAACATTCCCCTGTTTAATTATCTGATAAGTGAGCATACCACACGAAACACATGGGACAACAGTTCCCACGGTTGTTACTGTTATCTATCACATGGTGTTCACCACCCTTACTAACTTCAGCATACTGTCTGTCATACAGTGCCTTTGGTGTTGTATTGAAACATTGTCTGGTGCAACAAAGTGGTCTGTCAGTACCAGCCATGTTGACATTGTCAACATAAAGAATGGTTTGCGTCCCCTAGGGTCACCTCTTCAAGTATGACAAATTTGAAGAAGAAAAAAATTTAATACTCAGTGTTGCTATAATTTTGACACGTCTATTTTCATATAAAATTGTTATTAATAATCTAATGCTTTGTTTCACGTTATCAGGCTGGTACATCCGGTAAAGCATCTGGTAAAGCATCCAGTAAGTTTGCAAGCCTCAACAAATTACGAGATCTGGAGCTTAGAATGGTATGTTTTAAATACACATATTTATTTATTTATAAAGCTACAACATAGAAAACATGAGAATGCCAAACATACTATACACACAAAATAACTAGTTCTTCTGTGATTACCAGCTAGAGGATATCTCTGGAGGTAAAAAGGCAATCGAGATTGCAAAGTTCCTTGTTCTGTTCTATCCACTTCAGCTTCAAAGATGCAGACGCCTAAAATAATATAGGAAAATAATAACAGTGGCAAGCAAAGGGTACATTTTCCTAGTGAACAGACTAGAATTTTCAGACTTAGAGAACACAAGCATTGTAAGCTCAGAGCATAGCTTCACTATGTGGGTGTCAGAACCCTGCCAGTTGTAGATGTTGAGTTTTTTGGTTTGGTCAAGCATTGTAAGCTCAGAGCATAGCTTCACTATGTGGGTGTCAGAACCCTGCCAGTTGTAGATGTTGAGTTTTTTGGTTTGGTCAAGCATTGTAAGCTCAGAGCATAGCTTCACTATGTGGGTGTCAGAACCCTGCCAGTTGTAGATGTTGAGTTTTTTGGTTTGGTCAAGCATTGTAAGCTCAGAGCATAGCTTCACTATGTGGGTGTCAGAACCCTGCCAGTTGTAGATGTTGAGTTTTTTGGTTTGGTCAAGCATTGTAAGCTCAGAGCATAGCTTCACTATGTGGGTGTCAGAACCCTGCCAGTTGTAGATGTTGAGTTTTTTGGTTTGGTCAAGCATTGTAAGCTCAGAGCATAGCTTCACTATGTGGGTGTCAAAACCCTGCCAGTTGTAGATGTTGAGTTTTTTGGTTTGGTCAAGCATTGTAAGCTCAGAGCATAGCTTCACTATGTGAGTGTCAGAACCCTGCCAGTTGTAGATGAGTTTTTTGGTTTGGTCAAGCATTGTAAGCTCAGAGCATAGATTCACTATGTGGGTGTCAGAACCCTGCCAGTTGTAGATGTTGAGTTTTTTGGTTTGGTCGAGCATTGTAAGCTCAGAGCATAGCTTCACTATGTGAGTGTCAGAACCCTGCCAGTTGTAGATGTTGAGTATTTTGGTTTGGTCAAGCATTGTAAGCTCAGAGCTTAGCTTCACTATGTGGGTGTCAGAACCCTGCCAGTTGTAGATGTTGAGTTTTTTGGTTTGGTCGAGCATTGTAAGCTCAGAGCATAGCTTCACTATGTGAGTGTCAGAACCCTGCCAGTTGTAGATGTTGAGTATTTTGGTTTGGTCAAGCATTGTAAGCTCAGAGCATAGCTTCACTATGTGGGTGTCAGAACCCTGCCAGTTGTAGATGTTGAGTTTTTTGGTTTGGTCAAGCATTGTAAGCTCAGAGCAAAGCTTCACTATGTGGGTGTCAGAACCCTGCCAGTTGTAGATGTTGAGTTTTTTGGTTTGGTCAAGCATTGTAAGCTCAGAGCATAGCTTCACTATGTGGGTGTCAGAACCCTGCCAGTTGTAGATGAGTTTTTTGGTTTGGTCAAGCATTGTAAGCTCAGAGCATAGCTTCACTATGTGAGTGTCAGAACCCTGCCAGTTGTAGATGTTGAGTTTTTTGGTTTGGTCAAGCATTGTAAGCTCAGAGCATAGCTTCACTATGTGAGTGTCAGAACCCTGCCAGTTGTAGATGTTGAGTTTTTTGGTTTGGTCAAGCATTGTAAGCTCAGAGCATAGCTTCACTATGTGAGTGTCAGAACCCTGCCAGTTGTAGATGTTGAGTTTTTTGGTTTGGTCTTACAAGGCTGTCTAGATTTCACCACAAACAAGAAGGGAGATCTGGCTTATTTTGGCCACCCTTCAAGACAAACTCAGGTGGGTCATCCTGTATGTGGCTTAAATTAAGCTGGAGTAGATACATTTTAACTCTTTTGTCACAGAACATCTATTCACAATTCACATGCAAATTCCAGTGAAGATATTGTTAAGCATTTGTATTTCATTTCTTTCATTATCTTTAGTCTCATTGAATTGTAGATTCAGGAAAGAAGTTATAGTAACAGTTTAGGTAGAATATGTTAACATAACTAAACAATGAGGCTAAATAGTTATAGAAATGTGTACAGTTTATAGAGTAACCAATTATTGTGTCCTGACTTCCTTGATACTACTTCGTCTTCTTCTTTTGTTCTACTGCTTGTGCTGTTTTGTGTCACAGAAAGGGGTTAGGTGTAGTTTTCTGTCTTTTGCTAGATGCTTATATTTAATGTGTTTCTCTAATGTTTCTTTTATCCCAGATTAACGGTACCTATAATGGAATCAATGCCGAAGGGTTGCGATATCCATAGTACCGAGCCAAAGGGTTTACAACTCATGGTTTCTGGATACGTTAAAAAAAATTTAAAAAAAAATTTCCTCCATCAATATCTTTCTTGATCTGCCTCTTTCCATATAGCCTGCTCTAACTGCTGGCTGATTTTGTTCCATTTTGACCAGACGCCCAAACCATTTGATTCATTGATAAAATCATTTACCGGTACTGTGTCTGCCATTGTTCTTAGTTCTTCATTGGTGACTTTGTCTCTTCTTGTGTTTTTCCTTCAGTATTTCTTATACATCTCATCTCGCATATTGTAATTTTGTTTTGTGTTTATGTTTTTCTAGTACTGTTCATGTCTTGTATGAATAGCATATTTATCAAAATATTATATTTGTTGTTGTGTGCATTCATATTTTGATGCCACAGAAGTTGCACTATTTGGTAATTTGTTGTTGCTGGCGTTCTGTATTGTTGTCTGTTTCTCTGTCCAGTCCTCCATTATCAGTGAATGCATTGCCTCAATACTTATCTTGCTTTTATAGCTCACCTTTAACAATGATGATATGTTAAACTGTTCTATTTACTGTCATTATTTCTGATGAACTGACAGGGTTAAATGAAACCATTGCATGGAGGTCATAATTAATTATTAAAGGTAATGATGGACCCATGGCACATAAACTGTCATTGAGATGCAGTGTTTTTTCACATATTCTAGGCCATGAAAAAATTAATTGGAATGGCAAGTTTTTTTTGGAAATTTGTATAGGCTGAGCTGTATATTTAAATGTATGTACATTAAAACTTAGTTAAACACAAACTCCAAGTGACTGAAAAATCAAGGGTTGTTAAAAATGTGTATGTGTGTTTATGTTGTTGTATTGTATTGTGTCATGAGAGGTATAGGACTCACAGCCCAAGGCGATGGCGAGTGTGATTAGCAATAGCCACTCGTGCCAAGAAAAGTGTTCCTCTCCTTACCACAAAAACTGGGCAGTATTGTGGAGATCATATGTTGTCCATGCATTATGATCACTCTCAGCCTGTCTTGTTTATTTTAAAGGAAAGGTTACACCAGTACATTTGGAACAAAGCAGGCTGCAAAAGCTGCCAGATCAGAGGAGCAGTGCTCTGTCCATCGGTCACAGCTTCCCTTCTAGACCAGCCACCAAGCAAGGCTAAGGGCATGGTCTGCCCTCTCATAACATAAAGTTTTCATGTTGCATTTTCTCTTCCTCTAAATTTATGTACACTTTTGGTTACAGAATGAAGCTCGAAAACTGAATCACGCAGAAGTTGTTGCAGAAGACGAGCGGAAGAAAAGACCACAGAATTTTGAGGCTAAGCGCAAACGTGTGGAGTGGGAAGAAGAGCAGGACCAAAAGAAAAAGGTTTATAATTAAGAACTGCTTCATATATTGGAAACTTTTAAGCGGTATTCCCAAGCCTTATGAGTGAGGTTTTGGCTGATGTTTATGTTAAAAAACATAAAATAGAATCATCTGTTTGCTTTTTCAAATGTATTGCATCATCTTCATTTCATTAACCCTTTCACCCCAGTTATCTAGAAAGAACAGTACCAAGGTCAATTTTCACACACACACACACACACAAATTCCTAAAATTAAATTTTTGGACATAAATTAACAAAGATTATGCATAAATGAAATTGGAGTAATTGATTAAAAAAATGAACACTGCAAAATAACAGCTGGGTTACTTTTCTCTGAGGTTAAATAAATGTAATGATGTGACTGATTTTTGGTGCTGTGACCCCTTCGCTGCAGACCACAGTAACTAACGGGGAATGATGACATCATAATTTCAATGAATAAAACCAGTTTATCACAATAAAACCTACAATGCTGTTTTAGTAATTGTAGCCATTGGTGATATATAATGCCATACTATGTTTTTTTTTTAAATCCACTTTTTATGACTGTGTCAAAACATGTCTGTTTTCATTACTTTTTAACTATGCTCAGCCAGACAGCAGGTTTATATCTGCATGTGCCAAGTCTCTGCTGTGTGGTCTGTCTAACATGGAAACCAGATTGTTTAGTACTGCTGACATATGTTTTAGAGTTATGGATATGGTCTTCTTCAACACTTAGGTTGTATTTGTCTATTTCATTAGGGTTGGTGTTTCTGAAGAGATGATTTCTTTTAATTAATAAAGGCAACAAAGGAAACACACAAATTTAGCAATAAGTTCCTGGTGTGGGTTCCTTGGCCCTATTTTGGAAAGGGGGGGGGGGGTTTGTAAAAGATCCACTGGACCCCCCCCCCCCCCCCCCCCCAACCCGATTTGCAACAACAATTAGTTAAATGTGAGTAATTAAGCTTTGCTTAAATGAGACATGGTTGACTGAAAGGTGTTGATATTACAGCCCAGCTGTGAACCGTGACACAAGATGCCAACCACTCTTTCCAGGGCAAAGAGGCAAATAATTAATCTCACAGTAAATGGCGAGATACTAGCCAATGGAAAAGATGCAAATAATTAATCTCACAGTAAATGGCGAGGTACTGGATCAAATAACAAGTTCCTCCTATCTGACACATAAGCCTGTATATTATGTTATATGCCCACATTTGATAACTATCAGTTAATCCGGCACTGGTGACAAAAGACATTCTGTATTGGTGGTTTATCTTCCAGGAATGTGCCAAGAAAGGGGAGGACTATGACCGGGTGAAGTTGCTTGAACTGGGAGCAGACGAAGCTGAGAAGTGGGAAAGGAAAAAGAAGAAAAAGAATCCAGATCAAGGATTTGCAGGTAAAGCTGAATCTGCAGAATGATTTTATTTTTGATGTTTTTAAGACATCATTAAACTAGTTTTTCTAGTCATTATTTTTGCTTAAACATTTTGTTAACTCTTTTAGCAGGAAATTATTTATATGAATCCACAGTGTAATTTTAGACATCTAGGATTCATTTTAACATCACAGGGGAACACGGATAGAGGGGTAAATTACAAACAATGTGTTATATATAGCAAATGTGGTGCTGGATGAAGTAACACCAGTTCTGACACACAAATATTAGTAATTACTAAGGACTATTATCACAGCACTTTGGACAGATTCATATGTACTTCAGTAGCTCTGCAGAGTAAAACTGAGCACGCCAATTTGGCCTTGATTAATCAGATGCTTTGGTGAAAGATTGTGTCTGTTATGACAAATCTCATAATTGCTCTGTGTTGCCCATGGGTTCTTACTTCAACTGATGAGCAGGAAACCATAATCAGAGGGATATAGTTAATTGTTTTTGTTTGGTGTATATTTTTTTTTCTAAAAGAATTTCTGTAGTTTGTCTAAAATCATAATGCCAATTTGGTTTTCATTCCCTATAGTGTTACTTCAGCATTTGTCCTTAAAAGGGTGGTTGACAAATTATGTTGTTATTTAAGCTAAGTTGCAGTATCTGCACCTTTCAGGCTAACGCATCATATTTCAGCAAACCCTAATTGACCAGTTTGTTCAGGAGTGGTGGGTCTGTTCTTCTTCCACTTGTGATCTCCAACACCAAGTGCTGACTGGCATGGTTGAATATGGCTCTTTGTAACTTGCGTTCTCCAACACAAAGTGCTGACTGGCATGGTTGATTATGGCTCTCCACAACTTGGAGATCACAAGTTACGGAGAGCCATAATCTACCATGCCAGTCAACAAGGTGTTGATAAGGATAATGATAGTATTTTAATTAATATTGAAATCGTGTAATTATATTTGCCTTTACCTAAAGCCACATCTTGTCATTTGTTTACCCATAGACTACGAGCAGGCAACATTCAGACAGTACCAGAGACTGACCAAACAGATTAAGGCAGATCCACAGGAGTATGAGAAACAAAGGGACAAGCTGTAAGTAACCCTGATTTATGTCTTTGTTTTCTGCCCTTTGTCCCTCAATGGAGCTTTACACTAGCTGAAGTTTGCATGCCCTTGTGGGTTCCATTGTAAAGCCCTTGTAGTTATATTTTTCTTGGATTTTCTCAAACTGTCCTATCCGTTTATTTCCCTGTTTCTGTGCAATCACCAGTTCATGAATGTTCTTAGATTATTAATAATTGTATTAGAAATGTGAAAAGAATAATGTGCCATCTCAACAGTGAAGATCATTATAAGTCTCTGAAACTCTGCCCTAGGGAAGGAGAGGAAGGCAAAATAAAAGAAAATGGTTTTTGTCAGGCCATTTTGACATTATAATTTGTCCATAAGAATTCCTATCAAGTCATGAGGTCTCAGTATTAGTCACCCGGTGCATATTTTAAAGGCACTCGAGAATGTATTACAGTCTTACATCCTATTCATGTTTATTGATTATTCCCTTTAAATATATATATATTTTTTTTAAAGTGTAGATAAATACATGAAAATAAAAAAAACATAAAAATCTTAGGTGTTAAAGCTAAGACCACCAGGCAGACAGGCACGCATCTTAGCCACCGTGACATTGTGACCATTAAGTTGCCCAAAAAATTGCCTTGGTATTTTTAGTCATTGTTGTGTGCAATATGTTGGTATATGAAAGGGAAGTTCATAATTGAACGTAAACACTTGGTGCGGTGCAGGACACATGGAACGCAATGTGAAGAGAGAGAAAAACGGTTGGCTCTAAGTCCCCGGAGAGGAAGGATGCGGTGATGTAGGTTCTAGTCTGGGTGTTGCCAGACTAGTCCAGCACACCCGCATGTTACGCTGGCGTTAGGCATACAGGCTATCGGCGAGAGATGCCGCAGAGGCCGGGCCAGCGTGACAGAAGCTCGTGTGGTGAGATGGGAGATCTCAAGTACGTGTCAGGCCGCAGACGGAAGGTCTGGATAATCTTCACAAGGTATTGTGCATCGGCCTGTATGATCTTTCTAGTGACGGTGTACTCAAGGGATGGGTGTCATAGAGACAGACACGTACTCACGAGCAGTGGGTTTGCACGAGCAGGTAATGTTTGCTCGTTGTTAACCACGGAACAGGGTGGCAGTAGAAGTAGCCCAGAGCGTCCGGAGTGTGTGTTGCCTCACCAGTAGGAATGACTGTGGCAGTATAGAAATTCATATGGATTCTTTGTCTTGGTTTTGAAATACATTAATTATATTTTGACGTTCAACATGTATCCAGCGTCCTTTATTGCTGTTGGGCGGGAGTTGTGACTTTGATTTGTAACACTATTAAGTATACCTGGATACTTGGCAAGTGTGCGGTGCATCAAGCGAGCATTTCACACGCGTCAGTCATTAAGCAGCATTTTTTGTTTACATGAAGGAAACTAATCACTAAATACAAGCAGGGCAAAGAATTAACTGCTTTCATCCCCTTTAACCTTGAAAAAGGTGTTTTGTTGACAGCCAAGGGAAACAAAGTACCTCATAATGATGTTATGACATCACAAAGGGGGGGGGGGCATATTTTACCCCACATAATATCTTAATTTGTGAGTGTATAGATATAATCATGCCCACTATGTCTACATGCTGTGCAGTTACAGCCAGTACCAATGCTATATGTTTAGTTTTCACTACCTAGAGATGTGTTATCATAACCCATAACAGTCCGAAAATAAACTCTCAGCGGACAGATTTTAGATTTGTCTCAGCATTATTCAGCAGATCAAATCAAACTGGACTCTCATCACAACAAGCTTCAGAACCACTTGGTCTAATGCCAGCATTCTCGCCACATGAACTTTTATGCCCAGTGTTCTTGATATCCTATGTCCATCTGTCTAGTTACACAGTGTTTAGGTAGTCTTCTTCTTCTCTGGTCCTGTTCTGCCTTTCGGTGTCAGTTTTTGAAGATGCATCGGGTGCAAACCTTGATATGTGTTACATAGATGCTGGTATTAACATCCTCCAATATTCTGTCTATCCATGGCTTGCGTGGTCGACCTCTAGCTCTACTTGTTTTATGTCTAAATGACAGGGCTCTCTTTGGTGCACTATCTGGTTTTAGTCTTGACAGATGTCACAGCAATTTGATCTGTTGTCTCTTGATGTAGTTTAATACTGGTTCCATCCTAAACTCTTTAATGATTTCATTTCTGATCCTGTTTCTTCTCATACCTTTATTATTTATAGTAGATATTTTAATTTCTTTTGTTTCAAGTTTTCTTTTGTTGTTGTTAATGTTCACGTATGGCACTGGTAAACAGTTTTGCTATAAAAAACAAACACTGCTAATAACTGATGTTGCACCCAGTATCTTGGCCTCACCTGTTGATTTACTTGAGCCTGCCCAGTTCCCCCTCCCCTCCCCCACCTCCATAGTCTGCATCAGTGATTCTCTTGTATAATTTCAGGTTTGTTTATGTTCTGTGCCATCACCCATCAGTGTGAAAGTTATGACACTAGGTCTTCCTCTTCCTCTCCCAACCACCCTCTTTCCTCCCATGGCTTTTCGGGTACATGGTGCTATTTGTATGGACACATTGGCACTTGATGGTTATTGATGTGGTATCATTACACTGACTGCCTTTACTTTCCATACTGTTACCTGGTGCCCTCTTTATGCTGGGCCAACAGGGAAGTCTGGGTCATTTACACAAATCTGCCTCAGTGCAGATTCAAACCCTGGACTTTGAGATCAGTAGGTAAGCATCTAGCCACTGCACAGTTAGGATATATTCCTGTTTCATGTGTTTCAGTGGTGAAGATTTCTATGCATCATCAAACACTCTTGGCCTCCATGATCACAAAGACTCTGATGAGGCCATCGACAGAATGGTCGGCGATCTGGAAAAACAGTAAGTGTTTCCCTTATTGTGTGTCTTCTACATATCTTAGTTGTTTTGTGTAGAGGTTAGAGGGGCTAAATGAGACAGAAAGATGCAAGTGGAGCGATTTAACAACCGGGCAAGAAATTATAATATCAACCATAATTTCATTAAAAAAATAAGATGTCTGAAATTATTAAAGGGCTGTTATTGCCTACATACAAGGATTATAGGTAAGTAAAAGACTTGTTACACCTTTGATGCATTGGATGTATAGACCGGTTGACTAGTTAGTGGGTTATGTAATCAGCATTATACCAGCCACCTTTACTTTCCTGGTACCTGATTAGGCTGCGCTGACCTCATAGCCAAGATAAGTTGTTGAAAAATTGTGCCTCTTGTGGATTGTTTGTTTGACCTTTGGACCCCCAGACGAGTATCTAGTATTAGTAACCACTTGGATACAAAGCACCTCTAGGGAAATATGAAGTTACAGATTTATTGAATGATATAGTAGGAAGGCATTGTGATAATGGTTGATTTAATTGTTTCCCAGTTAGGTAGTCTCATGACATATACTGCCATTGAATTGTGAAGTATTACACAATAATAATTTGCATTACAGTAGAATGTTTGTAAGCTGTAATACATGAGGTTTATGAGCACTAATAAGTGAAGTTTTTGAGAATTAGATAACAGAGTTTGTAAGCATTCTTTTTTTTTGCATTCACTAGCTGTAAACTTTGGCAGAAAGTTTGTGATCACTAATATGGGAAGTTTGTAAGCTCTGATATGGACAGTTTGTAAGCTCTGATATGGGAAGTTTGTACACCCTTATGTGGAGTATTATAACTCTTTTGTGTGGTTTGTAAGATCTGCTTGGTAAAATGTGAGCTCTGGTATAGGAAATTTGTAATTTATAATATGGAAAGTTTGTATTCACTATATTTCTGCTAGACTCCAGTCTAGTATTGTTTCTGCATTTCACAAAGCTGTGTCCACCGTGTGGTTTCTGGGGCCCTATTATAGGGAAAACAAGAATAGACCCACTGCCTACCCAAAAGCATGTCGTAAGAGTCGACTAATTGGGAGCTTCCTTCGAAGTTGGAGTGTATCTGCCTGAGAGGCAAGGAACCAGGAGTCTGCATACAAATAAGCCAGATCTGTAAAACGGATGCACACGCAACACTCAGGTTCTGAAACAGGACTGCAGTCCAGCAGTGGATAAACAGCCAGAACTTTCCGCCAGAGTTTACAGCTGGTGAACGCAAAGAAGAAGATGACAAAGCTATGTCTTTTTAGTGGTTTACAATTTTATGTCTCAGATCTGTTATTCTAACTCATTTGTATTTCTGTGTTCCTAGGATTGAGAAAAGGTCCAAGTACAGCCGCCGCAGGACCTTTGATGAAGAAGCTGACATTGATTACATCAATGAGCGTAACATGAAGTTCAACCAGAAGCTGGAGAGGTTCTATGGGAAGTACACTGCCGAGATCAAGCAGAATCTGGAGAGGGGAACCGCTGTGTAGTTGCTGCCTTTTACGTCAGGAGAGGGAGACAGCAGGGGTGTGGTGACTGCCAGTATTTTGGACTGCCAGAGAGATGATAATAGTCTTTAAAATGCACAGGCAGTTTTTCCATTGTAAATTTAAATGGTGCACATTTATGACCTGGCATATTTTGTTGCATTTCATCAGGTGCATTACAACAGAGTTAAATCGACATATAAACAAGCATAACAATGAGTCCACTTCATTGAATCACATTGACAAGTTAGGCTGTGCTTTTTTCTACCAGAAATTCAGTTGCACCCATGTGATTACCATGGTAGTTTCAAAATTGATCATATGGTCTCTGGTTATGTAAAACAGGAGAGCTGGTTTTAGAAACATGGAAAACACAGGGGAAAATGTGAGGCAGTGTTTGTGTCTACATTATTTAAACCTAGAAAATGCTAATTATCATAGAACTGTAGCCCAGTCAGCACTCAATGTGTGATGTGATCAGCATACCGCTAAACACTTTTACATCTCAAGACACTATCTAGTACACAACATTAGGAAAGATCATGCGTTCATTGAAGATATGGGACAACGAGAGGCATCGAGGAACTTGGTGCCAGTTGGAAAGATTAGTGTCAGATAGAATGAGGCTGATGGTTTGACTAGCATGAAGGAATAGAATGATCTAAGATTCCAAGGAGTAAATGAGAAACACAATCGCATGTGCTCTCATGCGAAGCGCCTGATGATGATGATGTGTTCTCAGTAGTAATTCTGATATTTCTTTGTTATTTTTTTTGTCTTGTTTGTTGGAGGGCAAGTGTATTTATAAGGGGTGGGGGTGGTAGGGAGCTCTTGTTTATAGAAATAATGTTTGTCTCAATGTACTAAAGTAAACAGGTGTATTCTACTAACCTTCGAACTTTTTCATTTGTTAAAATGTCTGTGCTGTCTCCACAATGAACGTTTGCTACTGTGTACCATTGCTGTCTTTTACTATATGGTGAGGTCCTAGTCTCTTTAACTGAGCAGCTGACGACCACAGTCCAAAAACTACAGGAACATTTTTTTTTATAGTTCACCATGGGAATCAAATCCTGGTACTAGAGGATCATAAAATTATTCACTGCATTCCTTAATCTCTAAAGCCACAGAATCTTTGAACTCCCTAGGCCAAAATTTACTGCAATAAGAAAGCTGGATTTCTTTGAGCATTTTTTTTTAAATTTACAGTCTGATGAATAGATAGAAAAAGAGAGTCAACATTTTGTGACTCAGAACCCTAGACAATAAACAATGAAAAGGTGCATTAAAACAAAACTTATCCTTGATACCCTGCTCAACCTATAAAGAGAGTATAACTGGATCACTTGCAATGTCCACACCAGCCATGTGGTCATAGTTGGTCTTCCCCTCCTCTCCAGGATTGATATCCATAGGATTAATACCCTAAGGATTGGGATTAGAATCAAACAGGAGCAAATCCCAGAAAAGCTTTGACTGTGTGACACCATTTTAATAGGACACACCTAGGGTAACTGATTATTGTTCTCGGTATGGGTTTCAGTACCCCATTATGCGGGGCAGCAAGAAAAGATTCCCTGCCACTTCAACAAGCATGTCGTAGGAATCGACTGATTAGGAGCTTTCTTTGAAGTGGGAATGCATTGCCCAGGTGGCAAGGAACAACCAACTGCACAAAGCCAAAGTCCGAATGGATGAACAGCCATAACTTTCAATCAGAGCTTATAGCCGATGATGAACACAGAAAAAGAAGAAATGTTGCAGCCAGCCTGGTTTAGCTTGCAGTTTTGTGTGTGAGGGGCTGTTTTCATTTGCACACACAGTGCAAGCTGCATTATTTTGTTTTTGTGTGTTTGATTAGGGTAAAGTAATCTAGCTACTTATTAAACATGTGACAGTGTGCATTTTTGATATGTGATGCCACTTTTAAAAGAAACCAGTAAAAATTGTGGCTGTTGTCTCTATGTAGAAGTTATGAGCATGGTTATCTTTATGGCACTCTGGACGCATCCATAAGTGCTCAGCTTTCCCCTTAAACATATACAGCAGCATCAATGATAATAGTGTCATCAGTCATATGTTGGTTGACAAGACTTCTCTTACATTCAGTGTGTCTATCTTTATTCTCTGTTCTCACTTTCCTAGCAGCAGTGTGGATGCACTACTCCTAAAATTCTCAGATAGTCCTGTCTCTTTAAGAAAATTAACAAGTTTGATGCGATCCATAGATCTAAGGCAGTGCTGACAAGTCTATTAGCTCTTTTATTGCTAATAACACCCACATGCAATGTTACAACTTAAAAAGTAACTTCACACACTGGAGTTTTGCAATTACTGGGTCCACTTTCTGCACACAGTGAACACATGAGAATAGCTCTGTGCTTTCCGCCACATGAAAGCTCATGTCACCTCCATCCCCAGGCTGCTAGTGATCATAGAGAAGGCTTCTATGTCTGCAGAGTGAACATCCATCACTTTTGTGTCCTCGTACAATGGACCCGTCTACATAGATCAGTACATCTGCGTAATCTGAAATGTCACTGATAAGCCAATTGACCTGTATATTGACTACATCGTTCTGCTGCCGACAGTTTCTTTTAACCGTGACGACGCAGAAGAATGTGCAGTTGAGCTCTTCGGATACAGTTGTCCTTGTCAGGGTGGACATCTGTAATATTGCAGACTTGCGGAAGTATTCCACACATGCTTCGCTTATTGTGGTTGTTACACCCTTAGAGGTCTGGTGCAATGACTTCATGAGTGAAAGTATCATTCTATTTCTATTCCTGTACTTAAGTCTATGCTGGCTACGTGGGTTTTTAATCATGGTTTTGGGCGTCACAGGTTGACCCAGCCTAAAATGGGTACCAGGATGGCTGTCCTGGGAAAGTAAAGACTGCCGGCGTAATGCTCTAGTGCTGCTGATGGTCTGAAAAAATGTGGGCGCTCTTCCCATGTACTTGATGCGCCTAAAGTCGTGAACAAGGATCTTTAATTTCTGTTACTTACTTTGAATCTAGGAGTACAAAACACAATTTTTCAATCAAAAGACTGTTTGAACACATGACATTAACTTCGACAATGGTTCACCTGTAATGTTGCCTCAATTTTGGCAATTTTTTTTGGGAGGTCAACAATATGCGATGACCCAGCCCTAGAAGATCTGTGTGGACTCGATCCTTTCAGAAATGATCTTGCCCATTTTCTCAAGGGCCAGAAACAGAACCACTGCTTTATGGGACAATATAAGCACATGCTCTTTTATTCATTGGTCAGTGCTTATGATCGTGTTCAACGCACGCAGTAATGCACATCTATATTTCTAAAGATCTAGCGTTCAAATTCACATTGCAAGATTTTTTTTATATCCATAGTTGACTTATAATGTTTGCTTGACCTTGTCTAAAATAGATACTAGATAATGCCTTGAGAAGTAAAGGCCACCGGCGGACGTTGATCACATTAGACATCAAGTGCTGATTGGTCTTGAAAAATGTATGCCTAGCACTGTCTACCTGGGGAGCCGCCATTGTATATCGCCTAGTCGCTCGCCTGCGGATCGGAAGGCTGTGGGTTCGGGTCCTGGTGGAAGTTTTTTTTTTTTTTAAATGACCTTGGCTTCCAGGTCGACCCAGTTTTGAGTTAGTACCAGGTATAGTCCTGAGAAGTAAAGGCAGCTATCGTGATGTTGACCAAATCACCCACTAAGTACCGATTTTTCTTTAAAAAAAATTAGATCTAGCCAAGTATGTCTGAACGTGTGTTAAAGGTCCTGTACTTACTTTTACTGCATGCCTTGTAAGCCAAAAATGTGAAAAGGAACCTTCACTTCCCCCAAAATTATGTGTGGGTTCTTTGTTTCATCTGGGGGTTGCAACTGATCAGTAACTCTTTCTGCATCAGGCATCATGTCATTAATCTACTGATTATTCCCTTCATCGCTTGTTTTGTCGACCTTTTTCTCTTCTTGACTGTTGTCAATCAGATCAGGTGCCATCTGCACATTGAACGGTGGCTGCCAGGGATCTCCAACAGGCTGTGTCTCTTGTCTTGGCTGTTCACTCTTACAGACTGCTGATCATCCATCTCTTGATGCTGTCTTCCCCCTTGTATCATTTTCTGCCTCCTGCTTTCTTACTTCAGCTTCTCCCTCTCCTATGGGTTTAAAAAGAGTATTATGTCAGTATTACAGGCTGTGGTTATTATATTGCATTAAGTGAATGAAGCTGAATGGATTGACATACATTGGTATCTCGGTTACGAACTTAACTTGACACGGTTCCAAACCGGAAACTATGTTTCCCATTGAAAATAATAAATCAAATTGGTATCTTCGCCCACCCCATAAACATTCTTTTTTTTTTTAAATTTATTTATGTACAACAAAACTATGTGATATAAAATGTATAGTATAATCCTAGCTTTGCAGTTGATGGTTGCTGGAACCGGTAGAGGGGTAGGAGGAGAAAGACCTACTCCATCAAAGGAAACTCCATTCCCAAACTGAAGGAGTCCTAATCTTAAAATGCCCTATTGCATTAGTGCGAGCACAGACAAGCATGCCTTTCATTGCTTTGTGGCTATGCTGTGACTTATCATCTTGGGTTGTGTTTGTTCAAACCCCCCCCCCCACATTTAAATGTCCCGTTTCTTTGCACTTAAAAATTGATCTGGTACGTAACCAATCTTTAAAGTGAGTTTGCGAATTCCTCCATTCAGCAGGCATCTGCTGATTGAAAAAAAAAATCCAAACTAGCTGCTTCTGTGTGCTAATAAAACCATAAATTCCTGACAGTTCGTCGACGAAATTTGTCAGACCAGCCTCTACTTCATCAACGCTAGCATCGCCTGTATTTAGCGTTTTTCGCCACTAAATTGCCATGCACACCTAAAGCCTTCTGGCATAGTAGCCTCGATAACACTATCTCCAACAAACTGCTTTTCATTAATCAAAACTAACAATTTTTTCCAACACTTGGGAAAGCCTTGGCATCGTTAATACA